CAATCAGTATCAATCCCTTTCTCGAATCCAAAAATCATTAATTTCCCCTAAAGCTATGAATTTTTCGTTAGTTTCACGAATCGTACATGGAAATTTCTATGATCGATAACTAAATGGGTTTTTGATGATTACATATTTGAATCAGGTTCGTAAAATTCAATCAAAAATGGGCAACACTTCGTCGATGCTGACTCAGTACGACATCGAAGAAGTTCAGGGTCATTGCCATGATCTATGTGACACATTTTCCCTCCACTTTTCTCATTCTCTGTCTCTGGTTATATAAAATTTCTATGATTTTTGATCCAAATTCCGTACTGCGGTTTCTTGTCACAGTTGAACAGCAGGAGATTCTATCTCTGTATCAAAGGTTTTGTCAATTAGATCGAAATGCAAAAGGATTTATATCATCTGATGAGTTTCTCTCTGTTCCTGAGTTCGCCATGAATCCACTCTCTCAGGTTTTGTCAATTTTTAGAAAATCTTAATCTATGATCACTTATTAAAACCCATCAAAATTGAATCAGATTTGCTTTTAATTTTTTTGCTGAATATAAATAACAGAGGCTGCTTAAGATGGTTGATGGTTTAAACTTTAAGGATTTTGTGGCTTTCTTGTCTGCATTCAGTGCCAAGGCTAGTCTAAGACAAAAAGTTGAATGTAAGTAGAGAGTTTCCTTACAATCTATTTTGAGGCAAATTTTCACTTTCTCTTTATTTGTATGTAATGATCATCATACTGCTTGTTTCAGTGATCTTTAAAGTCTATGATTCGGATTGCAATGGGAAAGTCTCTTGCAATGATATCATGGAAGTGTTGCGGGACTTATCGGGATCGTTCATGTCTGATGAGCAAAGAGAGGTACGTATAGAAAGTTGGTAACCCTTGTAGTCATCCATCTTACAAGATTGGTAATAAATGGTTTACCACGTTTTCACGATTTGAAAAGCGTGATTCCGCTACTTTACCATTCAAAACTTTCATCGTTTCCACATTTTCGAAAAGTGATTACGCTATGTTTTATTATTAATCTCCTAAAACCAGCTATGTAGCTTTTAATAATTATCCTGTGGGCTGTGGAAATCCTATGCAATTAAAATGTTTCCCTTATTAGATAATTTGATGTTATGCTATTTTACCATTCATCTAGCATATATCAGTTCAAGACCCAAAGATATATACTGGAGTTTTTCGTTTTGTTATTCTCATAATGTCCACTCTGTTATCTTAGGCTCCAATCTTTATGGTTAGGAACTAAGGATTATGAGCACTGAATAAACTCAGTAAACAAGTGTTTTGACCATTTGCATTTGTGTTTTACTTTTGTGGTGTAGCAAGTATTGAGCCAGGTTTTGAAGGAAGCGGGCTACACAAGTGACTCTTTCTTAACGCTCGAGGATTTCGTAAAGGTAGAATTTTTGTTTGTTGTGATTGTAGCATCAGGATGCAGATACAATGTTCTACCTTTTTTAGACTGATTTGTTCTAGAATTCTGATCTTCTATCTTGCATTTCCAATGTCACAGGTCTTTGGGAGTAGTGGACCGGAGATGGACGTTGAAATTCCTGTGGATTAGGTTGATGATTCCAATGGATCAAAACTTTAAAACTCAAAATCTCATCATGTATTTGTCCACTTTGTTAGTAGAATACTCCTTGTTAATTGATCACACCATTTCAGTTTTTAAGTTTAACTATATGTATTATTAAAGTTTCTTCTTTACACATTTTTCAATTGATTTTAGATGCAGAAACACAATTGTCCCTTGTTTCTTCTGCTTAGCTTTTTGCATTAGCAAATAGCAGTAATGACATCGAGAAGAAACAAAAATATTAGAAATTTAAAAAAATGCTATTTTTCAAGTGCCATTTTACAAAAATGCCACATTTTTTTATATCTTTACAAAAATGCCACTTTTTCAAAATTATTTTTTGTTTATATTATTTATATTTGGGTTAATTATGTTTTATTAGTGTTTAGTTGTGAGAGTTTATGGGGGTTTAGGGGTCAAAACATTT